TGCGAAACAAGAATTGTGGTTCACAACCTAGATGGAAATGAACACCCCATCCGAACGGTTGTAGTGCCAACGATACAATTTGTCTTGACTGAACTAGTACATTTATGTATTGAACAAGATCCCAGAGAGGAGAATATTGTTTTATACTGATCGTTGTAAACGAACTAGGCCTCGGTTAATTACTGTATTCTCTGAACCCGTAAGATATTAAATAGACATATATATGCAGTATATATTATTTTGGTTCACTTGGGTGAGGTTCAGTTCACTGAATTAATATTCCTACTGTCCTGGGTAATATTACTGCATATATGATGTGCTATTAGGATATTTACAGTCGCCATGTACGTTTAGTTTGATGATGTCCCGAAGTGAGTTCATGAAGGATTATTATGCTAAAACCCTGTAGGTGGATTAAATTCCGGCATAGTAATAATGTGATGAACGAGCGCTAGCTTCGGTGAAATAATAATAAATTAATTAATTCTTGATTATCAGTAATTGAATTAATTAATGGACATTATATTTTAAACCTAGGGAGGTAATTCAGGTAATTATTATTAGAGTCTCAATTGTAAATTGGGATAGGAAAAGAGAGTGCAATAATATTATGTTAGTGGCTCATAATATTATTTAATTAATTTACGAAGTGGGTTTGGCCCACAGTTAGTCTAATTAATTAAGCAGTCCTATTCCTAATCTCCTAAGGGTCTCTACTGTAGCTCTATATATACACCATTAGGCTCATGGAATAGACAAGAAGAGATCAGAATTCTCCTACGTGCATTATATTTCACGCATCGTTTCTCTCTCTCTCTCTCTCAGTTTTCTGTTCGAGATTTATCTTCTTCTTGTTGCACCACCGTTACAAGTTAAAGAGGTTTTTGAGATATAGAGTAGAAGGTCACGAGGAAATTGAGATACATATATTATCAACCCCGTGATCAACCGCAGTCGATAGACTGTGACCCGTTGGACCGCCGCGACGAGCCCCGACCAGCCGACGACCGCCGTGACGCCAGCCAGAGCCAACGCTGCAGACCACCGCAACGCGCGACCCGGCCCAACCCGATCGCGTTCCTAACGTGTTCGTGTGTCAATCCTCGTCATCCCAAATCAGTCAGATTCAGAAAATTTTAAGCCATAAGTTTTCTACGTCAAACCTTTATTGAGTTCGTAACATAACGAGATACTCATTGATCCCAAAAAGTGGTGTCAGAACACTTGGTTAATTCGTTTTGTATAAAGTTTGAATTTTTACACCTTTATTTGACAAGATGTGTTCAACCGCAGCCATATATACTGAATTATATTCGCATACCTCGGTTTTGCAGGAATTAGTTTAATCCATTATTATGGTTGATTATGTGTTTGATGAATGTTGTTGGATGTGATGTATGGTTTTAAATTTGTTTCTATTGCCTCGGACATGTCGAGGAATTTATGGATGAATGTTTGTAATAATTATTCACTCGGGGGTTGAACGGATATATTTAATTATTTGTTTAGAAAACATATACATCCATTCGTTGGATCCAGGATCGAATTATGTAATTTTTTAAATTATATTTTTCATGTTGTGATCGTGTGTTGATGACCAGGAAACCACAAAGATTGACAAACCTCGAAGACCCGATTGGAACGCCACAGCTCGCGCGAAGACGAAAAAAAATTCGGCCAGTTTTTCTGACCACCGGAAGCAGGCGGCGGTGACGGCGGTTGGACTGGGTTTTACTTGATGACTAAGCAGTACAATATGAACCAATGTTCTACTGCAGTGGAAGTTCCAGTTGAACGAGAAAGAATATACAAGGTTTCCTTGTTTAAGGAGACTCAATATAAAATGGTCATAATAGTAGATGTATTTATTTTTTTTATTTATTTAAAGTTATTATTTATTTATTTATCTATTTATTTATTTATGTTAATCAATTATTGCTTTTGCATGAGAATAATTTAGAATTTCATATTTATTTATGCATGTTAATTAATTATTGCATTTACAAGGGACTAATTTAGAATTGAATATATATTTAAATATTAAAAATCCTCATTCAAATTATACTAAGTTTGAGAAGAAATTTTAAATTAAAGTTAATTATAAAATTCCTAAAGTCTCCATTTCTATTTTTTCGGTAAATCAATTAATTGCGGTATGGGCTCCCCCTCGGGTGATATCACTAAAATTAATTGTAGGAAATTACCAGGACGAATTTCTAATTATACGATTAGATGCAATATTATGAGAGCGTACGGGCTTCCCCTCGGATGATGTATAATCAAATCTGACGACCTTATGATCGAGAAATGAGATTCACTTAGAATGTGATTAAATTTATTAACCCCCCTCGGGGTCCCTAAATTCTATTGCATGACCAAACGGAAACCGACTATTAATTTCGTTTCTCATGAATTTGGTTTTGATTTATGGAAATTAATGGGTTCTTGAAAAGCCCTTCTCTGACTAATGTTGAGTTATGCAGGGTTACCCTCGTATCATGCATTACTCACGGTGTTTTGAGATGTTAGTGAATTTGTTAATGTTGTTTTGAGGATGCCAATATTAGCACTTAAATTCGTAGTGTTTATCTGTAAATTATTTTCATTATTCTCAGGCTATATTCATCATGTCGTTCAATCAGTTATCTGTCATTCTAAAAGAAAATCAGCTTAGTGGTCCTAATTACATTGATTGGAAAAGGAACTTAGACATTGTGTTGACTGCTGAGGGTTGTAAGTACGCTATCACTGAGGCTTGCCCGGCAGAGCCCGCGGCCGATAATCTTGAGCAGGGGAAGGGGAGTATGCCCGGTGGAAAAAGGTTGATGAGATGAAGAAATGTTACATTCTGGCATCTATGTCAAATGTTCTTCAACATCAATATCAGTCTATGAACACTGCAGCAGATATGCTTCTCAATCTCAAGAATCTGTTCGGACATCATTATAGGGCTGTTAGGCAGGAGACTATGAGTGCTCTAATGAGTATGCGTATAGTCGAGGGCACACCTGTGAGGGAGCATGCCCTAAGGGTTACGGTGCTGCTCAATGAGCTTGAGGTTATGGGAGGTTTTATCGACGCGGAAACCTAGGTTGATATTATGCTCTAGTCTTTGCCGAAGAGCTTTGATCAGTTCCGATAGAACTACAACATGCACAAGATGCATATGGCTCTTCCAGTACTGCTAGCAGAGCTTCAGTTGGCGAAAACCTTATTCACTCAGGCTCCTCAGGTGCTAGTCATCAAGCAGACTATATCTTTCAGGCCTCACAAGGGCAGAAAGAGAAAGAAGTCTACAGGAAAGGCTAAGGCACATGATGCTCCGATTGCATAGTTTGGGAGATATGAGAAAGAAAGCATATTATTGAGAAATAAAGATGTAAATATTGTGGTTGATTTTTAAAAGATGTGAAATGTTTTGTTTGTGTAATTGTATTTAATTAATATTAATGGTATTAGTATATTTTTAAGTTGATATTAAAAATATGTCAAATAAAATGTTTGATTTAGATAAATATTAGTTACTAATTTAAAAATATAAAATGAGATGGATATTAATGTATTACTAGTTTGTCATTAAAATTGTCAAAGTAAGAGTGTTTTAGGCATTTCATTTTTTTACAAAAACAATCGTCCTTTTGTAGTAGTATAGATATAGATATAGATATAGAATAGATAGAAGAATAGATAAAAATATAGGTAGGTAGATATAAATATAGATATCTATATATATATATTAGAAGCCAACCTATTTACTAAAAATAGTAGCAAGAAAAGTCAACACACATTTAATGCACACCTTATTTGGAAATTTTTTACTATATGCTTTAAATGCTTGCATATTTAATTATTTACATTTACTATCAAGATATGATCTTAAAGATTTTTCCTTAAATAATTTATGCAATGATTTTACTGATATCCATTATAATTAATATTTGTCGAGTAATATTTTTTAACCTTTATTTAATTATATAAAACTAATATTTTTTAAATAAATTAATATTATTTATCATTTAAAAGATAGTGATCACATCATTAAATGATTTTATTGATGGTTAGATAATATAATTATATTAGTTATTCTTTAAAATTTCGACATGTTATTTATTTGTATATTATTGTCAACTAGGATAGTGTTTTTATCACTTTTTTTTGTTATGTTTCAAAAATGAACTTATTGTAAAATATTTTTCTATTGCATAGTATGTTAAATAAACTATAAAGCCTTAGGATGAAAACTAGAAAAAATCTCTTATTATGTAAGGGATTTATTTTTTGGCAATTGCTAAATCATTTTTTTTTAAAAAAAAAGAGTTATTATGAGAAAATTGAATTCTAAAAAACATGTGTGTATATTTTGTAAACATTTATACTCAAAATTTTATTTTGAATTTCATTACATAAAGAGGACTACTTCTATAACTTTTATAAATAATAATAATGACATTATATGACTATAAATTTTATAATAATATAATAATTGAGTATTATATGGTGAACAAGAATAAATAAAATTTTTATTTTTTCTTATATCAATGAATAAATATGTATTCTAAAATCAAATAAATATATTAGTATGACGTG